TGGCATAGGCGAAGGCCGTTCTTCGGCCAATTTCTTGCCTCCTTAATGGGCCATCGAGAGCCGTGTAATTGTGAATTATAAAGTAATTGCACACATTGGCCATGGTATTACGTTAACATTACTTTCAATTATTAATGGTTATCAGTGACATCGAAGGATCTTTTAAATCGTATCGATACGATTTCAATCGATCATCGTTCAATTAAATTTTCAAACTTTCAAGATCAAGTATTTTCTTTTATCTTTATTATCATTTCTAAATATATAACATAATAAAATATATAACAAAATCCTTGACAGAAACCATTTTTCCATTTTTAAAATTCGTCACATCTTTCGATGTCTGTCGCTTGTTTGATCTACGAAACGTTCGTTACAAGTTTAGATAAAGAAGCAACTTTGGCCAATTATAACTTTTAAACTAATCAAACTTCTTAAAAAAAAAAAAAAAAAAAAAAAAACTGAAATGCTCGGTTCAATTTTAAGAAAAGTTATTTTAAAGGATGATCAGATCGGTTTTCGGGGGTTTTGTAACAACGATGGATCATAATGACCAGCAAAAAATGTTCCCAATTTTATTTAACCTTATTTTAAAACCGAAATAGCCCCTTTATTCCCCCGGAATACTGTCACTTGCACAACTTTTTATATTCAGCAACTTTTCTAATATCTTGAGTGGGAACATCGAAAGTCTCTAAAGAAAATTACGGTGTCGCTTACACGAAAGTTGGTACTTTTATTTCGAGGATAGTTCCCCCTCGTTGATGCTCTTGCAACCGTAACAGAGGCTTCGAATCGAATCGATCATTTTAAGTGATCGACGCCGAATCGAAGGGAAGGTAGGAATAGATTTACCAACCCCCTCCTCGTTGAAGATCGACTTTTTACGAACGATCCAGGCAACGCATGAACGTGAACGTTACAAAAGTGAAATAAACACGTAAATCCTCGAACGCGTTAATATATCAACCTTTGGCAGCAGGAATTGGAATTTTCGTCAGCTGCGCTCATGAAACAGCCAACGCGCATGCAATATGCAATCTCCCTTCTGATCGTCCAAATTAATAATACAAGAGGGTTGAATCTTTTATAACTTAAAACTGGCCGCCATCTGGTTATCGATCAACTAGCGCTCTAACTTTTTCTTCCGTAAAATCATCAGCGAACCTTTTCGAGTGGTTGGCCAAAAGCCTTTTCGATCGATAAATAAAATGAATAAAATCTCGAATTTGCACACGGTGTTTTCGACGGACACAATTAGATTTTCCACGATTTTCGGATTAAGTTACCACTCGATATCTCGGTGATAGATTGGACAATGGTTTGCCCCATGGTATGGAAATTGTCCTTCTATCGATATTTATTGGACGCGCGCGCGTTGTTAATACGCGTGCTCGGCCGTGATTTATCGGTAATAATCGAGGGATCGGATTATACCTGCATTGTTTCTGCCACGTTCCTTTACGGAATATTACCGCGTGTATTGATTACAACCGTGTAATGTACTAGTCGTTCCAATTATGCCGATTCGTGTAAAAAACCGGTTCGAGGATCGGACAAATTCGTTCGGAGGAAATGGGCTCGTTTTGGTGCGCACCATTGCGTTAGCATAAATGATAATTGCCCTCGATAAACAGCACGCTATTTGAGAAATATTCCCCGAATTATGTGTGATGTGACATCGTTATGCCATGCTTTAACGTTAATTGAAAAAAAAAAAAAACGAGGATATAATCGAGGTACAAACTGATACAAGGATTTCTTAATTTTAAATCCAATTACACATCGACGAATCAAATTGAATATCTCTTCTCGCGAAAAAGTGAAAAATGAGAAATATATGCTCTTGTGCTCACCACGATGTTTCTACTTTCGACGAAATCACAGACAATTATCTATTCTCCGTTATAAGATAATCTGATAAACTGCATTGTCGATTGATTGCAAATCAAATCTCTCAATATTGAAAGCTTATCACGGCAATAAGAATAAAGTTGCTCGTTTAACCAAATACGGTTGACGAGAAAACAAAGCGTCGTCCAAAGCAGAATGATACTATCGTAAGATGGAAGATCGAAAGTGGTGTCATCAATGACATCAGCCTACACCGATCGAACCCCTCTGCCAAGGATACCAAGAAAGGGGAAAGACTGGAAGATCGAGAGGGATGGAGGTTGGAGCTATTTCAGGAAGCCGTAGTGATCACGCTTCGGTCGCCAATCAGAGCTTATCTCGCCGCCTTGTAAAGAACCATTCTATATATATGGTGGCCATTACTGTCCCGTGCTCTCCTCCGGCAAGCAAGCATCCCTTTACCCTGGCTAAACGCCGCCAAGATAAGTTATTACACGGTGAAAATAAGGAGAAAATTGGAAAGCCGTGGTTTTAACCGTGAAAGTGGTGTCAATTACCGTTTCGATACCTCAAGCTGGACCACCCTTTTAGACCGCCTCTCGATCAAAGGATTTCATCCGATGCATCTGGTTTCTCTCGGTTTCCTCTCTTTCAGCCTTCTCTTCCAGCCTTCGCTCGTCTCTCGATTCGAGAAGAATCGGGTTACTTCCTCGCGAGGAATGAGAGGAATCGCGAGCAATGCCGGTAATTAATGGTTTCTTTCGCCCAGGCGAAAGAAAGAGTGTCAAGAGAGGGGAAATGGGTTGCGAGATGGAAGGTTTTTCGAGCTTTCTCGAGCTTTTCTTGCCTTTTTTAAACGAACGAAAAGAAAAAGAAAAGAAAAATAATTTGCAACGCGCGTTTGATAAATCAACGACAACGGGTTTATCAAACTTTCAACGCGTCGAGGAATTGCTGTTTTCTGGTTATAAATAACGGGGGAGGGAGGAGGGAAGAGGGGAAACACGGCACGAGCCGTGTCTGACCGAGCCGCTGTCCTCCTCTCCACCGCCAAAAGGTTGGTTACGAAGGTGTCGAACGCGCGTTTCGCTTCCATTGCATCCTCTGTAACGTTTAAAATTACAAGGGGGAAAGATTGCCTTATTTTTAGACCCTTCACGCTCGCCCTTGAACCTAATAATACATCCTCGAAACCGTACATGTTTTTCCACGCTTGCCCCCTTTTCGTTTAACGTCTTTTTCCTTTCTTTTTTATTATTTATAATCCATCGTGTTTCGTTATATATGTAGGGTGGACGAGCCGTTCGGGGTTAACTCTGAACTGAAACACTTGCCGGATAGATCTCGATAAAAAGTATCCGCCCCATAACCGACACGGCGCAAAGTCAGAGACCGTAGATCATCGTGAGACACTGCCACTCCACCGGGATAAAAAAGAACCGCCCTCTACTAGAGTTGCGGAGATAATAATGGCGACAGGAAGTGTGAGTATCATCGATCGTGTTCTTCCCTTCATTCAAAGCTTCGCCGTCGGTTAATTTAACCGGGGATAAAGTCGGTCGAATGGAACTGAAATGGGACGATTTTTCCAACGATTTTTTCCGTTTCGTTCGATTCGATTCTTAGATGCAAGTTAATTCGACTCTTGGCATAGATATATATTCAGGAATACCTGGGAACACCCGAAAGCGGGGCTAATAAATGGTGGAAACGATGCAATTCCAAAAAATGTTTTTCGCGTGCACCTGTTGTCCCACGCGAAATAACCATTCGACCGATGATCCTTTCCGGGCAATCGCGGCTCGGTTCTCGATTGTTCGTCAACCTTATTCGCCGATCCGGAGACTCTCTCTCCCCATTTGCCGTTTTCATTTAGCAAATGGTCGATGGTTGGTTTCTCATTTCGAGATTGCTCGTTAGGAAGGAGGGAATGTATCGTGAGAAAATGTTTCCGGAAACGTGATTTCTCCCTGGAATACGAGGGAATTTAATTTTCTGGAAACTCGTGGAAAGAAAAAATTTCGTCGACCTATTTTGTATACGGTATTATAACTCGGTGGATTTATTGTTTCATTCGCTACGAAGGAATATTTTTGCGTTAACGTGTGACCCAAAATGCGATGGAAAAAAAAAAGAGGGGGAGGGGAAAATATACTGGATGGGGAAAAAGAAAAAAAAAGAGGAAAAAAAAATGAATACAAAAATATCCAGGAAAAAGAAGATTTAATCTTTTTTCCTCTGTCCGCGAGGGTGTTGGGACACGCTGTTTTTTGCATTCGGATGTACACGCGGCCTAAAGTTTAATTACGGTACGCGAACTGGGTTAATCACTCGCGATTCAGAAGGTTTTTCAGGTCCGGTTAGCCACGCATCGAACATTTTTCCCGCTGTTCAACCCAACCCCGGGACACGACATCTGTCCCGCTTTAACGATCGGCTCGAACCTGGAATTACCGGTAGACCGGTAGATAAAGATTGAAATTTACCGACCCGGTTGTGGAAGCTACCAACTCCGTAATCCTCGAAATTGATACGAATGAAAATGCACACACGCTGCCAATAACTCTGGGCGAAACTATGGCAACGGTTACGGTATCGTGCTACTTTTACCATTTTCATTATTTATTCGTCCAATTTACGACTCGTGTCGAAACTTTTGAATGCCGGTGTCCATTTAAAGTTTATGATAAACACGAATTCGATATTTTATCCTGAAATACCTTGCCTTCTAAAATCGAACCCATTATTCGTTCTTTAATTTAACTTTTATCCTCGCGATATTTCGACATTCCTTTTTCGTTCGTGCACGCACGTCGATGTTACGATTCACAAGTGATTCGCGAGTATTAAGATGGGTTTTATAATCGAACGCGTCATCCGTGATAATTTGATATTTTTGTCCTCACGATATTTCGACATTTCTTTTTCGTTCGTGTACGCGATATCGTTACGATTCACAAGTGATTCGCGAGTATTAAGGTGGGTTCTATAATCGAACGCGTCATCCGTGATAATTTGACACTTTTATCTTCACGATATTTCGATATTGTTTTTCATTAATTAAGACGGATTAGCGTGAAAGTTAAGTTAATCTTCTTTAAATGTTCGTTTAAACTTTCCAATAAAATTGCGAAATGCGTGCTAACCTGTAGGTGTGCACGGTGTTCTTGCCGCCTCCACGAGGTCCTCGCGACTTCCGGGCGGTGCTTCCAGCATCGTGCCGCTGCCGGAGAATTTTTTTACACATAGCAGGCTCAACGCTGAAAAAAAGGGGAGGGAGGGAATTATTGTTAGAAATAAGTAATAATGAAATCAAAGTAGTGATAAATTTCTGGGATTATTTTTCATCGAGCATCGTTCTAATTAAATTTCAAAGTATTTTTCGAATTAATAAAGCTGTTTCGCATAAGGATAAATTATATCCACCCTGTACATGGTTGATCCATTAATTAGCTTTGATATAACATTTTCGTTATAATATTTTCATCTACGTGTCACGTGTTTTTCCATGAAATTATGACAAATGAATTCCACTCGAGCCAATAAATTATTATTAACGCTCTTCAACGCTCGTTTCTTTATCTCTCGTGTTATTCCATATTGTAGTGCACGGTTATTAAATATATCTATTCCTTCAAGAGCGAAATATTTTTCTTTCGTGATAATTCATCGTGACGGTATAATTCATTGGCAGAAAGGGAGAGAGAGAGAAAGAGAAAGAAAAATATTTATTATTACAAAAGTTCAAACAAGATTTTTAGATTATATAATTTTCTTTCCACTTTCCAAGAAATTCCACCATTCAACTCGAATATATACATATATACAGAAATTATTATTCAAAGTTTAACAATTCTCGACATCAGTTCCTCTTTCATCAAACGCTACGTCTTTTAGAACTGTTTTAATTTCAAGTAGATTTCAAGTAGACCAGCAAGATCTTTCATTATACAATTTCTCAAATCAATTAACGCAAATATCTTCTTTATAAAAAGGAATGTTCCCAGTCCAAATAAGGCTAAATACGGACAATCCATACTATCCTTCTCCTTCTCGCGAAATATTCCACGACACGATTTTCTAGCACGATTCTATTCCCCGCAATTTACCAAAGTGAAAGGAGAACACGTCGTCGTGGCGAGATCTTGTCAAGTTACGCGCGTTGTCCGGCGCAAGAACTCGCGTTGGGACCGCGTTTTAATTAAATTTTCACAACCACAAGGTCACCACGAGAAATGCTGCCACACGTTCCACACGTGATAATACGTGTATTCTCGCGTGCACACACCCACGCGAACCGTTATGCTCGCGATCGTACGTACATATAAAAGGGCAGGCTGGTATTGGAAGCATCGCACGTGCTAATGCCGTTTTACCTTTGTGCTTGGACGCGTGCCAGAAAGAGTATTAACAATACCAGGCAGTGTTGAAGCTTAGGGAACGCCTCGCATGATTAATTTTGCGCTCATATTCGAGACATCAGATGTCTGGAAACTGTGCTTTAGTTTTTTTCTTTTTCTACATCTTTTTTACCTTAACCGTCCTACTTGGAAATTTTAATCCGCGGAGTGAAAATTTCTAAAGTTTTGGAAATATTTTAAGGGACGCTTGACCATTTTAATTTTTCAAAGTCGATTCGATCGATCGTTTGTCTCAATTTGCGATTGAGGGGCGCGTTAGGGTGAAAAATTAGAATCGTCGAAAAAGTTATTCCTCTCTTTTCACTATCTTTTCTCACTATTTTTATCACCATTCTTGTTTATAAGCGTTCATAAAGAGGACTTTTTCTTTATCTTATCCTTCATGAAGAACGAAGAAAGGCTTTCGAGGCTTGGTTCCAAAGTCAAGCGACGTGGAACGGTATTATGGCCATTCTTCTGTCGGAGAAGAAAAACCCTCCCCCCTTTTATCTCTTCGATCATTGCCACTAGCACCCTCCTATAATTATAATGTTTCACGAGTATATTCCGCTTATACCGTTCACTTCATTAAAACGCGATTTCCCATTACGTTGTTTTCTCGTTAAACGAGAAGAAACTTCCCTTCATCCGACGTACCTTCACGACGTGGCTCGATAAAACAAGCCGGAAGCCAATCTCTCGAAAGACTTACGATTAATCCAATACCTGTACTTCGCCGTACTTCTTTATTTCCCAACTTTCAAGATATAATTTCAACATTGACAATTCTCTCGAAGATCGATGTCATCCCTCTTCTCCTCCTCCTCCTCCTCCTCCTCCTCCTTCTTCTTCTTTTTCACTCGCGAAATTCTTCCCTTTCACGACGGGAGAAAAATTCAGCGCGGTCGGGACTTTCCACAATCTCGGTTGTAGGTTCCAGCTTCCTGCGGTTCAATTTTCGTCCTTTGACGATGGCCAAAAGGCAAGGAGCATCAAGCATCGAGAATCGGTGGTGGCAGCCACCGAACCATCCCCTTTGTCTCCTTCTATTTTCCAATAGTCCTTTCCTTCCTTCCTTCCTTCCTCCCTCCTTCCCTCCCTCCTTCCGCCGCGTTTCTTCCATCTTTCTCCGCCTCGCGGATCCTTTTGTGCCGACCAGATCGAGCGGATCCGCTTTTTCCACCAAGCGAAACCACCCACCGGCCTCTAATCTTCCACCAGCGCTCGTTCTGTCGCCTCTCTGTCGACGAGTTTGCGGATACTTTGAAAGCAAATTCGCGCATCCGCAATTCCGGATAGAATTGCGCTTTTCACGGGGGGGGGTGAGGAGGGGAGAGGGGGGGAACTCGCGAAAGAATTGTATTCGTGGCCGCGCGCATTGTCACTCCGCCTCTCCATTCTCTGTCTGGAACCGAAAAGAAAATCGAATCACAAAGGGGAGAAAAATGCCTTTCCTTCCACCGATCGTTTCCGAACTTTTCACCCCTTTGCACGGCTATTTCCTTCGATCCTTCGATCCTCCTCCTCCTCTCTGTTTATGACAGAGTTTTGCCTCGAGGTTCCCTCGAATGGATTTGTTTTATATATATATAGCTTCGAGGCTCGTTTTCGATCGTAGCAACGTTACGAATCCATTACGTCGACGATCGAGGGAGAAGGGAGGAGGGGTGTACGGGGATGTCGTATTATTTTGGAAATCTATTGCATACGATCGAGGGTGGATTCGAATGTATGGACACATCGGTTAGCCAGGAATCCCACGATTCACGACTCCCCATACAAATTATTCACATTCCCCGACAACAAACGGATTCCGCATTCCGCGCGACTGTTACCAAGCGCAACGAATTTCACGAATAATCGACGAGACTGCGACGTTTGCTTCGTTTTTTTTTTTTTTTTTTACTTTTTCCTCTTTCTCTCTCTCTCTCTCTCTTTCTTTTTCCATCGATCCCATTTTTTCGAGGGAGAATGAGTTGATTTTCGAGAGACAGCTACTCGTCAAAACGATGTCCTTCCCCGGTCACCATGCTTTCTATTCTTTATTCGTGGTCTCTCTGTTAAGATACGTGAGCCGAAATCCAACGGTGCACACACGGTCGGTTAAAACGAGAAAATTCCAACCTCGATGGAACAGCCGGGGGAATTTTATTTATCCGAATGCCGTCGGTCGTTTATCTCCACTCTCTCGAGCTACAACGACCGATAGCCCCTGGCCAACTTTCGTCCCAGAATCCAATTTTTTTTCGCGACACGAATCTGGCTAATGTACCGTCTAAGATGTATAGTCCATGATTCTGCTACGGTATATCTCGGCCCTTTAACCGTTTAAAGATTAATAAAGTGCACTCGATTCTCAAAGTTCTCAAAGATATTCTCAAAGATCATCACTTTTTCCCCTCTATCGTATTATTTTCTCCCTTCTTGTTTTTCCACTTAACAATTCACATTACAGCAATTTTTGTAATAAACAGATAATTTAATTCAATATGATTTCTTCAGAGATAATAAATTTTAAGAATTTGTTAATATTTTTTCGTTCGAGTTAGAAAAGTTGTATATCTTATTAATCTAAAATTAAGTTTTATTTTATCTAATCATAATATTGGATTGATCGTTAGAATAATCGATGGCCAAAAGAGTTAAGATGTAAACTCACCCCGCTTCACGTCTCGCCACGTGTTCGTGATTTCGTCCAGCCTTCCTTGCTCGTTTGGCGTTCACCCATATATTCCTCTCACATCGTTCTAACCGCTAACACTCTACTGAATCTGTAACATGGTATAACAAATGATCAAAGGTTTCGTTTCGATCATTGTTTCCCTATCTATTATAACATCGTTGCGCAATGCACGCTCCAATTACAATTTCATATATTATATTACGATAAATAGGATCGACGAAGTTAATTATAGTTTCGAAACGCGCAACTCTCTGAATTACAATAATCATGGAATAATTCTTGGATTAATCTTTTTATTCGTTAAATTTCAATTCCGATCCATTTTTCGATCTTATCGACAAAAGCCAAAATCCCAAAGCTCGACTTCTTTCGCTTCCACTTCTATCTCCAAATCTATCTCATTCCAAAAATAAGAATTTCTCTACTTTCTACACTTCTACGATTATCTTGTTCGTTCGTTTATTTTCGTAAAAGGAGGAAATTCTGAATTGAAATGAAAAATAAAAATAACACGATTGTATTAGGATCATCCGTATTAGGATCTTTAAATTATTAACGCTGTCCAAAGTATTTAATTTCGTTTACCCACGAATCGATCAGGCGGAGCCGGTCATTAGGTTAAGGCAGAGCACACATGCGACAAATGCATAATGCTGTCCCGGGGTTGCAGGTTGTGTGCACATGCGGGCACATGTGGCGAGACGTGTGCGCCGCAGACCACGCAAGAGCAAATAAGAGAGGCCAGTATGCGCGGCTTATGCGAAATGTTGCAAAATTGGGGATGGTAAAATCCCCGTTTAACTATGGTTTATTCGTTTTAATTCGTCCAATCAGTTTTAATCAATCGAACGATCGGGGCAAATGTGTTTATCGGGGAGGAAAAAATGAAAATTTTTTTCACAAAGATATTTACTTTGTTATTTTGTACTTTTTTTTTTATTTTATTTTAGATCTCTCTTTGATTTCTTTTATCTTTCGAAAAAATTATATTTTTGTTTTGCTAACTTGGTTTGACGAATCGATGAAAAATATCGAATTTCGCAATTCGATATTTTGATATTTTATTGTATGATCTTTATTTTATACGGATATTTTTTTTTTTTTTTTTTATTTGGCGTGTAATTGGATATTTTAAGGATAATAGATTACAACGATATATAGAATTTCCTGGACTGCATTGACGTAATTAACGTCCCAAATCGAGTGGGAAGTTCTCGAAAGCGTAGCAAGCATCCATAAATACTTCCACGAAACGAAATTGCTCGTAAATTTTCTGCACGAGGAATCTTTTATCTCTTAATGTTCTCCCTTTCCTCTTTACGGCCACAAGTACAAGATAAGGGATGCTCGTCCCCTTCCTTAATCTCCTCTTCTTCACCTCGTTCAACCGCTTTGCTTTTGTCCGATTCTTTAATCGTATCTCTCATTGCTCACCTAAATTCTATCCAAATATCTCGCTTATTGTTCAAGTAAGTTAGAGATCAAAAAAATAAAAAAATAGCAAAAGTACAGTTAATGATAATTTACAAAAAATGGTAACACAATATAGAAAAATATCTAATTTCAATTACTTGATAAGTTTCATCCTTAAAATATCGTGCAAAAAATTTGCATTATCGTATCGTGTCCCTAGACTCTCATACGTTTCAATTTTCCATATATAAATAAACGACGTTTTGCTAACATTGTATATTCCTTTTCTCTTTCAGATTCGACCTGTTAAAGATACATTAACGATACATTAACACTCCTCAATACGATAGACACACTCCAAGTGATAACAAATGAATTTAGCGGAGAATGGTGGAGGAGTAATTAATGGGAGAATTTTCGTTTCGCTATCGTTATTCAGTTCGGTTGGCGCGGAAAGACAGGGTGCAGGTGTTGCCTGTGTCAGATAATGGCTCGGCTATCTGCACATCCGCTAATTCGGGATAGGAGCTCGCCGGCAAAATCCTGACAGCAGGGAGTTTTGGCCGAGTGGTCGCCACACCACGATAGATAGATAGATAGATAGATAGATAGATAGATAGATAGAGAGAGAGAGAGAGAGAGAGAGAACTGGTAATTGGTGTCTGAAAGCTGTTTTCACCCGGAAACCAATCGTCCTCCTCTTCGACGAAACTTTCGCAGCGGAGTTTCCAGATGTAGACCATCCACCGTCGTGTAACCAATCGTCGAAACCGTGCCACCCAGCAACCCGTGGAAGAAAAATTGCGGCCGGTGAAGCGCGAAAACTGTGCAGGGAACACGTGGAAAAGTTTGGTGGCCGTGGTTGGCTAGCGTGAAACCGCATCACTTTTCTGATCGCCGATATCACGGGAATACTCTGATTGAACCGTTACAGAAACGTTACAGAACAGGGTGCAGAAAAAAACCTTTAGGTAAGCGAGATTTTCTAATTGATATTATTCTTTCATCTCGCTCTTTTAATCAATTTGATGATACGATATTCGTTATTTCTTAAAAAAATATTTTTTTCTTTTTTTCTTCTCTTTTTGGTTTATGTTCAAGTAGAGGAGATTTAATAATAATTTTATTAACGAAATTGAATTGCTTTGGAGTGGAAGCCTTATTTCATTTCATCATAGATTCGAAATAAATTTAATTAGAGAAGAGGTACCTTTGCGGTGCCTCTGTTTTCCTTTTGGAGAAGGTATTTCTCGTTAAGGTATGGCGTCGTTCGGGAGATCGGTTTGATTTGATAAATTTCGCGCGAAATTTCTATCGAGATGGAAGAGAAGAGAGCCCCTGAAAAAAACGGGCGCGAAAATGAACGAGGTTATTCCCGATATCACGCAACTGATACGATACTTTCGCGTGCTGTCTACATTCGTATTACTGGATTTGTGGTATCCGCAAGTTTGTGAACTCGAAACACCGCTTATTCTCCCCAATCTCGTATAAGATTATTCCAGAGAAAAAGGGAGGAAAATACAATGGAAATGTATTTAACTATATGTAAAATTTACCATCAACTCTCGATTCAATAACTCTATTAACAATCTTCTTGAGAGTTTTGTTCTCAAATATAATACATTTTCGTGCAACGAAATGAATTATTTGGAAGCATACGATGATCGATTCGTGGAAGTGGATCGAAATATCGTTACATGTACGAACTAACATATTTATTTTGTTATTCAGGGATGAAAATCCAGAGCAGCACAACTGGCCACAGCCACTAGCTTCGTACGTACACGAAACGAGCCGGCCACGAGCGAGCTCCCAGGAGTCGTATAGTTGGTGACTAGTAATTAGCTAGACGAGTGACACTATCTCCTTTATCACTCCCCGTGGGTGCAACGAGCACGCGATATCCTAGCTCAGGCCTCGTACACATTCGTTTCCTATAATTTAGCGTACGTATAATTCCTTGTTATCGGATCAATCATAACGTATAATTCACGTAGGTATTGGTTTCAACGAATAATGGAGTACAAACGACGACGATCATCTTGGGAATCGCAGCAAAATCTTGTTTCGAAATCGAACGAAACCTCTCTCGTCTCATTCTCTTCATCCCCTCTTTTCTCATCTTTCATTCTTCATTTTCATTCGAAGAAGAATCTGGCTACAAGAGAGCCGTGGTTGATTCGTTGGTGAATCTTCTTTTCCAATGCAATTCCATTCCTCCCCCATTCTACCCTTTTTATCCTTGCTCGCTCTTGCGTATCCAGGTAGATTTGTACATATACCCTCGGCCTCCATCTCCGAACGCTCCATCCCCTCTTCCGGTTTTCATTCCCCGCGTGTCTTTCCCAGCTGCCGAGGCGTTTATCCGGATGCTTTTCAGCTACGTGCACACCTGGAAGATGTTCCACGGGAAAAAAGGACGAGTTCATAACCCGGGATACAGACGAGAATATAAAGCAGACAGCACCATCTTATAACCTTTTCCTCCCAACATCCTCGACATTTTTCTTCGTTCTTCTGCTTTCTCCTCCGTTCTCGCTGTAACCACAGTTTTTCCACCTTTAAAAGGATCGAGTAATTTTCGTGGAGAATGTTTACGGCTACCCGAACAAAATTTCGCGGAAATAAAACGTAGATCTATTAAAGGAAAAACGAAGGAAACGGAAAGATAGTAATAAATAAAAAATTAGAAATATCGTATACGTGTAATGAAGATCTATGATGAATATTTTTGAGTTCAATAGATCGTGGATTATTATTCTAAAATAATGAAACGAAAAGAATATTATTTATAAAGAAGGAATTCAAGAAAGAATCTCGCGTCACTTTTATTCTCTCGATTCTTACAATTCCGCTGAAAACTGACAAGTGTCGTAATCGTTGCACCCTGGCGGATAATTCATCACAAGTTTTCATTTTCTCGTCGATCAGCATCATCATACGAGATTTCCTCCCCCCTAGCCGCCCAAAGCGACCGAAATGCGTATCGAATCCCTCGAATTTCGATCGCACAATAAATGACTAATCACGTGGAATGCGATTAATTAAACGATCCCCTCAGTTAACCGGCGTATTATTAATCACGAGGCTGAATGTTTCAACGGGTTTGCACCGATTTAATTAACATCGATCAACGCACGGATTAAAAATTAACATCGCTTCCGACCCACCCCTTTCAAACTTTCAGCCTAATTAACTTCGACCCCCGCGTACCCACATCCGGCGGAAAGGAATGGAAAATGAAAATTGAAGGGCAAATTATCGATTCTTTGCCTTGATCGAGACCCCGACAAAGGGTTGGGAGAGACGTTGAGAGCGATGGTGCTGCAACTTATGAACAATCTTGCGTTATACGTAACAGGTCCCTTGTGCCATCGGGGACATCGTGCTCGCTACCATCCCCTATCCACCCCTTTAGCGCCCCCCTTTGTCCGTAGGACGCTGTAAACTTGCTATATATATCTCGATATCTCGACGTAACATCGCCGCTCGTAATTTAGCCAACAGATTGCCCCGTTCTGACACTCGCTGTTATATGAACGTGTTCCACGATTAAAACAACGTGGAACGCGTTCAATCATTTTCGAAAATTTGTGCGATTGGCTCTCCCGATTTGCGATTCAAACGAGGGAGTGAAATTTCGAGAATGGAAAGCGAAGCGATAAATTATTTCGCCAGGAGAGAGAGAGAGAGAGAGAGAGAGAGGGATCGCTTCTTTGGAAAGGACGAGTCTTGGAGGATTTCAATATAAATCAACGGCTTATGAATATTAACAAGTTTAAGTTTCTTGTTGACTTGTTGTTGTTCTCGCACTGCTCAAGGTTTCAATCTCTCGTACGTGAAACTTCCGTTTATCATAACGGGACAATTTTTACTCGATACACACGGAAGTATTATATGGTTTTTGGGCGTTATTAAAATTTTTGGAAGGAATTACACTAAACGGAAAAATTCGTTGTGTAAGTATCCAATATTTGGAAGAGGTATTATTCAGGTTGAAAATATTTCAAAGAAATGATCTTTACATACTTGTGGAGGATCGGAATGAATTTATTAGAGCAATAAAGTAATGGATAGATCATATCGTATCGACCGAAAATTATACCATTCGCATCGTGCTAGGCTATTATTTATGTCTAGAATCTAGAATCTCCTCGGCAACGTTTATAGTCTTCCCTGGGTCGGAACGTTAGATAACGCGTAATTCACGCGAAATGCCCGATGCAATTAAACCGCATTTATGACTCCGCATCTCGGTGGCGAACTTCGTTCATCGACAATAAAGCGAAAATGGATGTGCATTAACATTGTTTTCGCGTCAAGTGGCTTAGCAGCCTCGACAACCGAACGAATCCTCATCTCGTGAAACTCGTCTCCGCTCGCCGCATAATCGATAAAACCTCCCCTATTCGACTTTCGAATCGAATTTCGAAAAATACATGTATCGATATCTTCACAAAATATTTCCATCTCTCTTGTTTGCATTCCCTAATTCTTCGTTCGAGCGCAATTTCCAATTTCTTTTTAAAGAGAGAAAAAGAAAAAAGAAAGAATTAATTCCATTGCGTTAGCAAAGTTTAAAATCGAAAGGGAAAAGAGATACTTATTTTTAAGTAACGAGTTAACGACCTCCTTCCCTATCTCGGAGAAAATAAAATATAAAAGTACAACGATGGTGGGCGTAATTTTTTTCGAATAAACAGCGCGACCGTAGTGTAATTCCGCTACGATACGATCTTCCGGCACAATGGAGCTGCGCCCGATTCAGCTTGGATAAATCAAAGCGGCGGCCACGATAAAACCTCGGGACTTTTCTTCCCAGACAGGGATAAACTCGAGAGCAAGTTTTTCCAGGCCGAGGCAATAACCGCGCGACGTCGCGACGCCCCCGCAATCGTATTCATTCCGCTCGCTTCTTTATTTATTTGTTACCTCTTTTTTCTTTTTTTAACTCTCTTTCTCTCTCTCTCTCTCTTTCTTTCAATTTTTTAGTCGAATTAATTAACTCCATGCTCGCTAATATGGGATACGCCATCGCCTCGTTTGTCCTCGACTGTTTGTCATTCCACTAGCGAAGAAATCTTCTTTTGTGCTCGCTGAGAAAGAAACGACGAGGGTGACATGGTCACGTAGGGGTTTTAAACGATGTCTCTGTGTGTATCATTTTGTCTTTTTTTTTTTGCTTTTTTTTCTACCCCTGTACCGAAGTAGTCTTCTCGTTTTCCCTTTCTTCTTTGAGAAGTCTCTCTCTCTCTTTCTCACTCTTACTCAACTGGGTCCTCCTCGTGGTCGCCCTCGAGCGTCTCGAGAGTGGTTTCGTTTTCCTCGAAGTGACGCGCTTCGAGGTTGACTGAAGGGCTTCTACGAGGCCCAACGCCTCGGTTTAATGGGCTTGATGCATCGTGAGGGGTGGATAACCTTTGAGGACAGAGGCTGCTTAGAATTTTCGGTCGAAAGTTTTCGGTTCCCCTTCAACCCTTTGTTTCAAAGTTTCTTTTTGATTCGCGCGACATTAAAATCCAAACACCCCTGATGCATTATAGAAAAAAAAACATAGTATTATCTCTTTAATACAATCTCTCTTCCAACATCGTGATACATTTCCTGAGACGATGTTGAGATACTACAAGATTGTTTTCTAAACTTTTTTGAAGAATCCGAAAGAATACGAAATTTTCCCCAAAATAAATTATTTTGAATTATTTTTTGACCTTTATTTTCGAAACGGATCTTGGCACAAAGGAAAATTGAAAATATCCCGGACCGAGAATAACGGGAATTAATAAATCAAAAGGTTGATCCATCGTGAATCAATTCCAGTGAAACATTCCAAATCCAGCCGTCCGCCGCATTCATATCACGTAAAGCGATACCGAGTAGTGATATCCGGCGAATGATCCGCCGTCGAAACCCGGACAGATTTATTAAGAACGATCCGCGACATCGTGCACAATCGTGTATCCCAACG